AGAGAGAGAGAGAGAGAGAAAGATAGAGAGAAAGAGAGAGAGAAAGACAGAGTGAGAGCGCACAAATCAGCATTATTAACAAAGAAATGAAAACAAGGGCTTCCCAAAAGTGAGGAATCATTATCATAAACGTTGTGCATGTACTAAATAACCTCTTCCGACACCCCAACCTGCTAAATCATTTCCCTGAGAGTGTGTGTCTTTTACCAGATAGCTTCTAGCTCTTTTCTCCTGGAAGTTTCCTCATGGTGATGACAGTCTTAGTAGAAGTGTAGACAGGGAGAGCGCGCAAAGGGATATGTCTCACGACACGGTGGAATCATGCGCTTGTCAATTTTTGGACACGTGGAGTTATTGTATCATTTTAGTTTTAGTTTTAGTAAGGTCTTACGGCGCTTCCAACTACGTAAGGTCCTTTGAGCTCCACGTGTATCATTTTCAAGCTGGTTCGTTTGTCCTGCTTTTGGTAAAAAAAAAAAAAAATTAATATGGTTCATCTATTTTGAATAAAAGTGGAGACTTTTGTGATTGAAGAAGGTGGAGGTTAGATCTAACTGGTTGCACAATAAAATTAGGGGGGGAAAGGCCGCCGAGGTTTGGCGACTTCCATAGCTTGAGTTTGAGAGTCTTTAGAAATTGCAAATTTACATTTCATGCCTTAAATCAATATTTTTCAGTAAAATCCACACAGAAAAGTGTTTTAAAATGGGCCCTAAACGTGTTGAATAAAAAAACCCGAACAAATATTCGATTAAAATGCCAAAATGACAGAAAAAATGACAGTTTCTTTGATTTCATTTTTATGACGAGCGCCTGATTTCACCACTGTGTGTCACGTAGGAACACGAGTACTTAAAAAGACTTTCCTTTATCTACTAAGATGGTGTTGCTGTAAACGTTTAGTGAAAACGAAGAGTTGTTAGTTGTAGATCATACAAATATGTCGTGCGTTTGTGTATGTGTTTGTGTATGTGTGTGTGTGTGTGTGTTTGTGTATGTGTATGTGTGTTTGTGTACCTGTATTTCCAAAGTTATGCTTGACTTTAGCCTGTGGGAAGCACATAGACTATACCACTATGCTCAGAACCTCTGTGGTCTGTCAGAATAAACCGTCAACACACACATACACACTCACAAATACCCACAAAGACACCCACAAATACACATAAGCACAAACACACCCATAAACACAAACATAATACACACACATAAACACACATAAACACACACCTAATACACACATACACGCATCATCTGTTCATGAAACTCACACACACAAACACCCACACACACTCATACACACACTCACACACACTCACACACATTCTCTCACACACACACACTCACACACAAACACACACTCACACACACTCACACACACTCTCACTCACACACACACACACACACACACACACTCACACACACTCTCACGCACACGCACACACACACACACTCACACACACACACACTCACGCACACACAAACACTCACACACACCCACACACACTCACACACACACACACTAACACACAACCACAAATCCCAAAACCTCGCATTTCGTCCGTCTATCTCTCTTGATAACCCATTCAACCCTTTCTTGCGTTTTAATAAATCTAAAAAATCTAATTGCTTCAAAAGGAAGTCACAATAAGGATTTCATACTGATGTCTCAAGATGGTTTTCGACATGTAGAATTCATTTGTGGAATAAAAAGTTGTCGCGTAAACATGAAGAACAAAATGCCCTTTATCAGATCACCACAGCGCAGCCCTGACCTTCAGTACCCCCCCCCCCAGCCTCCCACCCCTCCTTCTCACCCCCCCCTCCTTCTCTCCTCCTCCGTCGATTAGCTGAAAGAGAGAAGAGAGCGGAGACAAAAGTATTGTTTTGTAATGGCCAATGTCAATTTGGAAATTCCCGATCGGAAAGGATCTACAATAGCCATTCTTCATTGAACATAGTCAATATTCATCATCGGTTTCGAATGAAACTGTCTTTTAAAAATCATATTATGTGAGGCATTGTGGTAAAATCAGGCGTTCTAATTTTCTCTTTTTGACTCAACACCTTTTTTTGGCCATTTAAAAACACATTTCGGTTTGCATTTTTTTGAAAACATTGATTTAATGCATAAACAAAATTTTAAGCTTCCAAGGACTCTCAGGCTACGGAAGCTACCAAACTTTGGCGGCCATTTTCTCGCTAATTTTTCCTCTGAAACCAGGCGACCCTGACCTCCTTCAATCGCGTATAACTGGAGTATTTTTCAACATAAATAGACTTTTTTTAAAACCACAAATGCGGTCAATGAACAGAAACAGCGATCTGTGAATGTGGACACGACCAAGAGGATGCCAACCATATCCTTCAGCACTGCCCGCGCTACGCCACCCTTTGCGCACAGACGTGGCAGAATGTGGCTCCCCTTGAGAGAAAACTCTATGGCCGTCTTTCAGAGTTGAAGCGAACTACACAGTTTGTACACGACATCGGACTGACTGTCTAGCTGCTGTCATCGAGAACGAGGAAGAAGAAAAAGAAGAAAGGCCAATGAACAGGCTGTAAGATGATACCAATAACACCCGTATGCCCAAAAACTGACAATCGCCTGATTCCACCACGCCGTGACACATAATATAGAGTGAAGCTGTGATTGGGACTTTGTCACAGACAACAAACCAGTGACGTTTCACAATACTAGCCAGATTATTCTATCTCTCATCCAATCCCGGAGATGATAAAAACGATAACGATAGTCCCAATATTTTGATGAAGTTCCAAACATCTGCAATCCACCTTGCATTACTTCATCTAAACCCTGCTTTCTGAAAAAAAGCCACTGGAATCTGCCCTCAAGGATAAGCAACAAGGTTTACGTACAATCAAAGACTTATAAAATCATTGCTTGCCGGAAACATTAATGTAAAGCAGCGTGGTAAAATCAGGCGCTCGTCAAAAAAATGAAACTGCAGAAACTGGCGTTTTTCCGCAGGTATGGGAATTTTATATGAATTTTTGTTTTTCTAGCAAAACCTTTCCAGTACATCAAAGAACACATTTCGGCGTATATTTTACTGATAAACATTGATTAAAGGCATACAAAGAGTACATTTTCAGTTTTCACGGACTCTCAAGCTAAGGAAATAACTCAAATTTGGTGGCTATTTTCTTGTTAATTGTACCCTGAAACTAGGCTGCCCTATCTCCTTCATTCGCCGATATCTTAACTTGTATCCAAGATAAACAGATATTTTTTTCATCAAAAGCGCGGCAAATGGGCAGGTTTTAACAAGATTGAAATAACTCCGTGTGCCCTATATTTGACGAGCGCCTGATTTCACCGTGTCGTGACACTTTTTTTCAGTTTGTATTTTATGTAAAACTACGACATCCTCAGATTATAATAAGCTGAAGGGTCTGAAACTGTGATTTGTACATGACACGAACAGAAGCCTTTGATTGAGGAAGATACTTATTGAGACATGCCAATTGTCAGACGAAAAAAGCCTTTACTGTCTCAGGGATGTTATTTTCTTGAGCTAGGTCTCCAAATCCCGAGTTTTTGAATATGTAAGATTATTGTATGCATAGAGGGTGAGGTGGAGGAGCGGTAACTGCGCTCGTCTCGGAAGCGGAAAGTCCGAGTTTGAGCATAAATTCGGACACAGATTTTTTTCGCCCCCTCCTGCCTACCCAGCAGTAATGGGTACCTGACTTCGAGTTGGGGAAGTAAAGGCGGCGTGGAAAGGTACTGGCCATCCTACCACAATATGTCGAAGACCCAGGAAGTTGTCTCATAAACAAGGCAATCCTCAATGTCCGGATCGGATGCGGGAACAACTTTACTTTACTTTAACGTAATCATGGACAGTGCCGTCAGAGAAAAAAGTAAATACATTGACAATTTTACCAGCGTAAATGAACTCACGTTCGCTGATGCAGATCATCTTAGATGCAAACCTCAACAGCTTCTAAGAACATACAAACAGCCTGATTCGAAAAATGAAAAAAAGGGTCAGATGTGAATCATCATTGCCAAATCAGATGTAAAGAAAATCTACAAAAACCCATGCCCATTGTAAATCTCCTCTGAAAGAATACAAGTCAAACAAGTTTAGGAATTTTAATATGTGGGAAGCATTTTTTATTGTACATATAACGGGGGGATTTGGCAGGGAAACTGAATTCAAGACCCAAAGAGCAAATTCAGTAACCTACCAATTGTCGCCACTACTCACCCAGTAGCATCTACCAATGGAAGTAAAAAGACAACTTATTAACAGCAGGCGTCCTAGGCCGAGAACTGTGTCTCCCATCGACACGTCACGATACAAGAGGAAAGAAAAGTCAAGTAAAAAGTTCCAGAAATTTTAATGATTGTAAAACATGTCTTTCAGTGCGTCCTGTAGAGCCACAGTGGAGCAGTGTCGTTATCCAACCAACGCCGTGGTATTTACAATTTTAGTCGTTCATATTGACACGTACAACTATCGTCATACTCGCCGTAGATCCATTTTGCCCCTGTACCTCACACACATAGTTCCCGACCAGTGATCGCTGCGTCGGCCCCAGGTTCAGGAACGCCTCAGCGTGGTACTGATAGACTTGAGACACCGACGTGCTCTCTCCACGTCCTTCTGATCCTTCCCTGTAGATCCGCAGGCTCGAGATGTCTCTGCCGTTTACCCAGCAAGTCACAGTGCAGTCTGAAATGTCATCCGACCCGGGAGAGCGATGGCTTCCTCTACTTGCACAAGTTACGCTTCTCACTTGCCGGAACAAGTACTTCCCTGTGGGGACTGGGTATTCCTGGTCTCGTCTTTTCACAAGGATGGGGACGTCGGAGTACGTGCTTGTCATCAGTAGGCCAGGCCTGGGATAGCTCGGACCCCCACTAGAGAGTCCGGAGACGTGGACCATCCCAGTGAAGTGACCAGACGACGTGGCCAGGGTCAGGTCCAGTCTCCGCACATCCGCAGACGTAGGGTCTCCCCCGGACTCCTGGTCCGCCTGTGGAAGTTGGACTTCGCGCATGGTAAAATATCCGCTTGCAGAGTCATTAACTTCAAATGTGTCAATCGGCCAGCCTCTACGGATGATAAACTCGATAGCGGTAAATGTATCGGTGAGGGAGTCGTAGAACACAGGCGTTATAAAAAACAACGATTCACCGTTGTGCCGAACAATAATGGGTATGGTCATGTTCTGGCCAGTTTCAACGATTTCAATTCTGTTCTCCAGGCTAACTTGAACCAGGGAAACATCTGCAGACCTCACGTCATCGACAAACTTCTTTGGTTTCTGACCTTCCTCGGGGTTAATTTGGGAGATTCTAAATTCTGGGGTCAATTCGAAATTGCAGACGAGAACTTTAACAGAAAGGAGGTTGTTCTCATTCCTGCCATTTCCCTCAAACCAGAAAGTGGCCGATTCTCTGTTGCTTTTACAGTAGCTGGCGTCTATGGTGAAAGTAACGTTTGACGTGCCCTCTCCCGCGGGCAAATGTCTCACTGTGATCTCCCGGGGCTGTACGGTCGCCAGGGGTTTGGTCACTATCCCAGAGGTCACGTGTTTGACCTGGAATGTAACCGATATGGCATCGTTGGTGACCTGTGACGTAAGTGACAGCGGTCGGAATGGAGGGTCCAGCCACTCTATTGTGTCTGTCGCGACACCTGGCGGGAGATATCTGAATCCTGCTTCATTTGTCCTTATTGGAACTGCTTCCACAGATCGTTTGTACAGCCGCACGCGTGTGGGAACATCCTGGAATTAATCAAACGAAGCAATAATTATTTCGTGACGCCAAGATTATTGTCGAGGACACCAACATCATCATCATCATCATCATCATCATCATCATCATCATCATCATTATCATCATCATCATCATCGTCATCTCCTCCAGGCAATTTATTTTCTTCAAGACACCCACCGAAAATATTAAATTTGTCCTCATCTTCCCATTGAATACCCTAGACCTTTCTATAGTAATAAAGAGATCACAATAACTAGACTATATACAATAACTAGACTGTCCCCTGGTTTAAGGAGACTACGATATTATGAGACACGACGCGGGGGAATCAGGCTCTCGTCAATTTTTGGGCATGTAGAGTTATTGGTATGATCAAAAAGCTTGTTCACTTGTCTTTATTTGGATGAAAAAAGTGTCCATTGTATTTATCTGGAATAGAAGTCGAAATATTTGTCAATGGAGGATTTAGGGGTTTCAGAGGTAAAAGTAACCAGAAAAATAGCTGTCAAAGTTGCGTTATTTTTTTAGCTTGAGAGTCCTTTTAGAAACTGAAAATATACATTTGTGTGCCTATTAGCAACATTTTTCTATACATACACTCGTAAGAAAGAATTTTCTATAAGCCGTCTTACAAATATTTTGTACTTGTGTTACGACGCCGTGGAATCAGGCGCTCGTCAATTTTTGGACAAGTGGAGTTATTGTATCATTTTAAAACCTGTTCATTTGTCCTGCTTTTGTTGAAAAAAGATACTCATCTATCATGAATAAAAGTCGAGATAGTTGCGATTGAAGGAGGTGGAGGTCACCTGGTTTCAGAATAAAATTAGCGAGAAAATAGCCGCCGAAGTTTGACGACTTGCAAAGCTTGAGAGTTTTTAAAATGTGAAAATTTACATGCCTTGAATAAAAAAAAATTCAGTAAAATCCACACAGAAAAGTGTTTTTAAATTATACCCTGAAGGTGTTGAGTCAAAAAACAAAAATTTGATTTTAAAAATGCCAAACAGACAAAAAAATAACAGTTTCTGTCATTTCATTATTATGACGAGAACCTGATTTCACCACGATGTCTCACATTTGTTCTTGTTGTTGTTAGCGATCCAGGATCATGTAAGCGTTAACTCTTCTGCATGATGCCATTCGGTAAAAGCTGCATGTCTGTTCTAATTGTTGTCTTGAGGAGTAGAGGCAATTAGATGTGTGGGGTAGCTTGGGAAGAAAACATCCCCTCAAATCAGATAGTTTTCTACAGAAGAACAGATGTTCCACTATCTCTGAGGTGTAGTCGCATAGTGGGCAGACAGCAGACTGCTTTACTCCAATTCGGTTGAGATGTTGATTGAGGGGTACATTTAATAATAAATAATAAATGACATTTATATAGCGCTCAATCCCGATTAAAGTGCACTGGCTCTGACCGCTTTACAATACAGTACAACGTACAACAGTAACATACTTTTTAAAAATTTGTGTTCCAAGAATGTCTCACATATATACATGTAACTGAATTCCTAAAATTGTTGTTAAAGACAGATTTCCTATTAGGCGTATCACAAATATTATGTAATTTACCTGTTGTAGAGAGCCAGTGGAGACAACAGCCCCGTAGACAGCTGTGATGGTGAGAAGAAACGCCAAACAAACGACTCCCCCACTAGGAGCCCACATCTTGTTGGAAGTTGTCGGGTCTGACAGTGTAAAACTCATCTTGTGGAACTCGCTTATATTCGCTGGGATGTTTGAGGACGGAGGAAAGTTAGACTGTAATTGGCCACACTTAGTTCTCTCCCTGTATAGTTCGGGCCGGAAAAGTAAACTTTTTTTTGGCGTACAATTATATGCACACAAGTGAGGCTTCGTGGTGAAATGAGGCGCTCGTCAAAATACAGACATTTGAGTAAAACGACATTTTTCTTCACGATCAGCAATTTTTATTAGCTTTTGTTGTTGTTGTTGTTGTTGTTGTTGTTGTTGTTTTGGGTGGGGTGTGTCAAGAATTTTCATACCCTTGTAAAAAGACATTTAACTGTGAATTTTACCGAAACACGTTAATTAAAGGTACAACAATGTGAAGTTACAGATTACAAGAACTCTTAAGCTTTTGAAGCTGCCAAATTTCGGACGCCATTATTTCGTTAATTTTACCTCTGAAACCAGACAACCCAACCCCCTTCAATTGCAAACATCTAGACTTCTATTTAAGATAGATTGGCGGGGGGGGGGGGGGGG